TATCTCCAGATCAAGAGAAGTCACACCCAGAACTGAAGGATATCTTGTGATTCTAGACCTGGAGTCTTGAGTTGTCATTGGATGGGACTTCTGGGTGTCTCCCTTGAGGAGGAGATGAGTATATTTTGTGGGTGAAGGGAGGGAAATAAATATTTATGAGCAAGAGCCTGGGCTGTAACAGGTTATATTATTTCCAATGGTTTCTTTCGCCTTCCTGTGAGAGGATTGTATCTCCCTGCCCATTGGCACCAGGTTTTGGCCAATTAAACAAGAGTGAAAGTGACACATGAAAGTGTTGGAACTTCCAAGAGGAGTCTCAGAGCCGTCGTGTGTTCTGAAATTTCTCTTTTTCTTCTGCACAGAAACACAGCAAATAAGGGCTGTTTTCCTTCATCCTGGGTCCCAGAATGAATGAAACGTGGAGCTAACCCACAAAGGACATGTAATTTGAGTGAGAAATAAACCCTTGTTGTTAGCCACTGAGACTTCGCGATTTCTGCAGTATGACTGACTCAGTACAGAAATCAATGCTTTACATTAGTCTGGATCATGATGAAAGGGAGTTTTAGACATTTTTTTTCTTTCTCCCTGGTTTCTTTGTAAAGCAATTCCTACCTTGCTTTAAATATGCCCCTTGTTCTGACAGATTAAATCGGGTTACTGGAACTTACTGGAAATCTAAATGACTCAAGCTCAAAGCCATTTATATGCGTAAGAACAACCAAAGTGGTGTGTGTAAAGTGAGTTTGTTTTCTGCATCACAGTTTAACTGACTGTGGAAGTGGATCCTGAGATACACTGAGGGCTGACGCATGACATAATCTCCCTTTAGATTTGATAGGAGACAAGGTGGTTGTTAGCCTGGGGCTGGGAGAAGCCTGGCAAAATGCACGGTGGGGGTGATGGACTTCGCAGATGAGAAAGCGGGGACCCCTCTGCCACAGTCAGAGGTGAAGAGCGACAACACCAGAGAGACTCCGAGAAAATGAGTAACCATTTCCTGGAAGACCAACTGAAGGACTGGCGTGCCTGGAAAAACTCTCACCAGCTGAGAATTTGTTGAAATTCAGAAATTAGGTGGAAAAAATTGGCCAGGAGCTGTAAGAAGAGAAAGAAAGATGGAGATTCCGGAAATCTATCTTTTTCCTTTTATTTGGCTCTCTGGGCCATGTTTTAATATTAGGAGATGAATACTAGAGCAAAATTAGTTAAGTAGAATTCCGTGTTTTCTGTATTGCCAGTATAGGTCTGTCTTTTACAAGTTTGAAAGAAATCACTACAAAACAATGTGGGCACAGTGCCAACAAGTATTTCTTCCATGATTATCAATCCATTTCACTTTTTAACTTTTCTGGCGTCAGTTTTGGAATCATGTACTTTTTCAGAAAACCAGGCAAAAGATTGTTATTATTGTCAACACGTAACTGTGCAGAACAGCACCACAATTTTCAGTTTTTCTCAATACTTCTTATACCCCATTTTGGATCTTTAACCCTATTTATTTTTCTTCTAGATTTGATTTTTGTTGTTGTATTCTGTTTTCAGTTAACCTTAGTTAAAGAATGTAGCCTGTACATCCATTATTTTTTAGGAACCTGAGGAGATTTTCATGAAGTTAAAATCTCTATAAAGCCAATCACACAAATACAGTTATCCTTAGTAATTATATGATGCAGCCTTATAATTATCACCTGTATCTTACAGAACCTTATCTTTTGGGGACTACTTGATTGGTCAAAGACCAGGAGTAACATATTGCAGTCTGTGGAAAAGAACTGCATCTCCACAAACTGTTCTTTTAGTCCTAATTTCTTTTTTTCAGTGAGGCTCTTCTCTAGTGCAAAAAGATTGATACCCTAATTCAATGAATGGTCAGCTGATTCCATGCCACACACTGTGATGGGGACAATGGTGAGCAAGACGTTGGTCCTGCTCTCAAAAGACAAGCAAATGATCATTTAAAAAAATGGGAGGGGGGAGGTAATTAGATTTACTCATTTATTTTAATGGAGGCACTGGGGATTGAACCCAGGACCTGCATGCTAAACATGCCCTCTACCACTTGAGCTATACCCTCACCTCCTATAAATGAGTGGTTTTAATCCAGTGTGATAACTCACTGTGACAAGGGCAGCACAGGATGGTTTGGAAAC